GGCTGAGGCAGGAGGATTGCAAATTTGAGGCCAGTCTCAGCAACTTCATGAAGCCTTAAGCAACTTAGCAAGACCCTATCTCAAAAAAAAAAAAAAAAAAGGATGGGGATGTGTCTCAGTGGTAAATCACCACTGGGTTCAGTTCCTGGTACTGCAAGATACAAACAAATACATAAAAACAAATACATAACAAACAAATACATACAAACAAATAAGTAAATAAACAGATAGATAAAACCCTTTAGTAGACGAGAGTGACCGAAGTGTGTGGTCCAGCCAGGCGTGGGGGCTCAAGCCTGTAATCCCAGCAGCTCAAAGGTCAAGGTTGAATTCCTCAGTTAAAGGCTTATGGGTACTCTAGAGAAAGTCATTTGAGGGGGGGAGGGGAAAATAAACCAAATCACAGAGGATTAAAGAAGGAGGGTGGAGGGGACCGATGTCTGCTGGTGTTGACATGACAGAGAGAGAGAGAGGGGGTGGACTGATGGGTGGAGTTCTGGGGAGGGTTATTGTCCCACCTGAAGACAGAAGGAAACCAAGCGGAGCCAGGCAGAGCAGCGCACGCCTGCCATCCCCACAACTCCTAGGCTGAGGCAGGAGGATGGAAGGGTCAAGGACAGCCTGGAGAACCTAGGGAGACCTTGCCTCAAAATGAAAAATAAAAAGGGCTRGGGACGTGGTAAAATGCCCCTGGGTTCAATCTCCTGCACCAAAAAAACACAGAGGGAGTRGGTCACGTGTTGTGGGCATGGTGGTCCAGGTCCGTAATTTACAGGACAAACTCCTAGCTGTGACAGAGACGRGACAAGCACACCGCTTGCTCTTGGTGGGAGGAAGGACTTGTCCCTCCTTGGCGGGAGGGAGAGGGGGAAGGTGGTGTGGGGGTGTGGACAGAGCCTTGTTTGTCAGCTATTGAGAGGGACATGGCCAGGAGGGGGTGGCTGCACCGTCTTTCTATAAATTTGTCTACCAAGACTTGAAGCCAACTGCTGCTCAGCAGCTGAGCTGGAGTCACGAGAAGTGTGGGAGAGCTGGGGAYGGCGACTGTGGGCGCCCTGCAAGGGAGTCGGTAGTGACAGTGATGACGAGGTGTCACTGTCGAGCAGGCACAAGCCGAGGCCGGTGGGTGCTGCGGGCAAGGTTCAGGGCGCTCCCCAGCAACCCCAGGGTGCGGGAGAGGGCTCTGGCAGGCAGCAGGCGTCCCACAAACCCAGTGGTGGGTCCGCCCTGTGTTCTCAGGCCTCTGGCTGCAGATCCTGGCTGTCCTCTGGGAACACCCTGCTCCCCCCAAACCAGCACCAGTCACGAGCTTTGTCTTTTTAATAAAAAATAATCTGTCTGTGACAAGCATTTGTTCAGAACCTCAAAACACAGGGAAGGGGAGAGGACAGAGGACAAGGGGTCAGCAAGGGTAAAGAAGTGAACAAGGCTCAGATTACCCCTRCCCTTCTAGTCGGGCAGAAAGAATWCAATCTGCCCCAACGGAAGCAAGAGGGAAGATGGTCAGACTTTAGGAAAGACTTCCTAGAGTCRGTGGTGTGTGGTTGGTAAGGGGAGCAGGAGTGGGCAGCTCCCTGCAGAATCCTGGAGACCCCTGGGAGGAGGGAGGCTGGTGTCCGAGGTGGCAGCTGCATTCAAGGTGGAGTTTCCAGGACCAGGTCCAGTCACGGTCATTGGGGTGTCTGGTGGTCAATACGGGGGTCCCGGAGCGGTCGGGGTTTCCATATCTCAGTAAATTTCTGGAGGGTCCCTGGAGTGGCCAGAACTGCAGGGTCCTCTCCAGGTCCCCCTGTTGTGGTGCAGGCCTGGGGGCAGCCTCCCCCAACAGACAGAGCCTCTGTGCTTGGTGGAAGGGAGTCCCCTAGGGAGGCCCGCAGGCTGCTGTGCGGGGCTCCTCAGGGTGCCGTTGGCGGCTCAGCGAGGCAGGACAAGCTCCGGTCATGGAAGGAGGACAGTCACTTGTGCTACTCCCCAGTCAGGGCTGCCCTGCGCAGGGTCCCAGGCAGCACGGCCAGGCCAGGAGCCAGCTCTGCTCAGCAAGGGCTCTTGCCCGAGCCCAGAGTTTAAGCCACCTCCGTGCCCAGACGGCTGTCAGCGTCCGTGTCACTGACGGAGGTCCTGCAGTCCTTGTGGGGCTGGAGACACTGCTCCCTGCTCAGGGGGGCCTTCTCCCCAGGGGGCGGGCTCCCACAGCCCTGGACCTTGCCCCGAGCCCGGAGTGCCCCCAGCGGGGAGGCGAGGAGGACAATCAGGGCGCCCGAGAGCACTAGGGCCAGCAGCACGGTGACCACGAGGAAGTGGGGCCAGTAGGAGCGCTGGACGGCCACGGCTGCCCCACCACCGACCCTGGTCAGGGGGACCTCCACGCGCTCCCGGGGGATGCCGGCCAGTTCAGGATCCAGGGCCAGGGCCTGCTCCTCGCCGTCCACCCAGTAGGAGACCACGGGGTACGAGAAGCCATTCTCGGTGGCCACGCACTGGTAGAGGCCCCCGACTCCATCCCGGGGCAACAGCAAGAGGGAGCCGTTATAGACAGCAGAAGAGGCTTCTGGGAGGGCCGCCTGGCTGTGACTCCAGTGGTAGGAGGCCAGTGCTGACAGGTGGGGGCAGGGGAGCTCCAGGATGGAGTTGGGGACAGCCAGGACCTCTTTAACTGGAAGACAAGGAAAGCCACAGCTATTAAGGAACCAAGGAAGACGGGAGAGTCCTTCACCTACACGGAGACCCCACCTCATCGCCAGCTTCTGTGTCAGCTCCCAGCTCAGTGTCACCCCGGTCTGTCTTCAGCCTGGACCCGACACTAGCTTCCAGTCCCTCGAACCACAACTCTGACACCAAAACCGACTTCCATCCCAACCCGAACCCCAGCTGTCTCCAGCTCAGAATTCCCGCTGTTCCTCCTCCAGCCAGGACCCAGATGGGTCCCAGCCCCGGAGCTCAGGTCTCAAGTCAGGCGTGGAGCAGAAACGCCCACCCCACTCAGACGGCCTCCAGGGCCTTTGAGCCTCCCTGGTCCCACACTCACTGATTTGCGGGCGGCTCTGAGGCCGGTGACTCCTGCCCATGGGGCCATTGGCACACGCCCACCCTGGGTTTCCATGCTCCATGTCCTGCTTCCAGGAATTCCTGAAGGAGCAAAGCACGCAAAAGTCATCCATCGAGACAGACAAACATGGGAACAGAAAGCCAGGCGTGTGGTGCACACCTGCAATCCCAGCCATTCAGGAGGCTGAGGCGGGAGGATCACAAGTTTGAGGCCAACCTCAGGAACTCAGTAAGGCCGTAACCAACTGAGTGAGACCATCTCAAAAAAAAAAAAATTTAAAAGGGTTGAGGATGTCATTCAGGGATTAAGCAGCCCTGGGTTCAATCCCCAGTACCAAAAAAGGGGAAGGACTGGGGATGTAGGTCAGTGGTAAAGCGCCGCTGAATTTAAAACCCAGAATCCCCCCCACCCCACCCCCCGTTTCCCCCCCMAAAAAAATTAAGGAACAGGAAAAGGAAGAGAGGGAAGTGCAGGGTGGCAGAAGGGGGGTCAGAGAACGGAGGGGAGGATGCAGAAGCTGGGATAGCTAGAGAGCTTCAGAACCCCTGGCCACATGCTGTCCTAGGAACCCACATAGAGGGTCCCTGGCCTCTGGGAGTGATGTGTCAGTGGCCCCAGGAGAGGGCAGAGCAAAGCAGAAGCTGGGTCCAAAGGTCTCAGGGGGCAGTCTTAGCCACCTTCCAGGACTGGCACTCACAGGTTGGGGGCAGAGAGAAGGCGGCAGATTTGAGACTCAGGGTCCCAGGCACAGTGGGGGTCCCGGGCAAGAACACAGTCCACACAGCTCTCGTAGACACTGCAGTTGGCTCGGGGCACCCTCCAGACACCTCCCGAGGAGCCCGCAAACAGTGCACCCTGGAATAGAGATGAAGAGGGTCAAGACAACCCAGGCCCAGGGGCCGGCCCCACCCAGCCCCCAAGGCCAGCCCTACTGGATGGCCATTTGAGGATCAGGTCCCTTCTCACCTGGGTGGGGGCCAGCTGCAGGTTACGAACAGGTTCGGGGTCAGGGAACAGCTGGATTTCCTCGACCAGGTAGGCATCACCATCCCCACTCACCACAGCCTTGTGCAGAGACCCTGTGGCTATGGATAAACAGAGCTGGAAGCTTCTCCCCTGGCTCTTGGACCCTCTCCGCCTTGGGCGGCCTCCCCAGCTGCCAAACACTCCTGAAGTGCAGGGTGCACTGGGTGGATCAGCCAGGCCACTCACTGACCTCCATGCCCACAGGCGGAGGGCTCTTGTAAATGACTTAGAGCCTTGGGCTACTCCCTTTCCTTTGCAACTGCCTGAAAACTCCATTGCTGGAGAAACCCAGCTGCCCCCTTTCTCCAAAGACATGCGCAGTGGGCAGCTGACTGCCCTGTTGAAAATGACATCACTGGCCTCCATCACATGCATCAAATGTCTCTACTGGGGGCCTTGGTGAGGCCCTGACCACCTTTTAAAAAACTGCAACCATGGGCTGGAGTTGTGGCTCAGTGGTAGAGAGCTCTCCTAGCATGTGCGAGGCCCTGGGTTCCATCCTCAGCATCATACAAAAATAAGTAAATAAAGATATTGTGTCCAACTAAAAAATTGCAACCTACTTGCCTAGCAAGCGGGAAACTCTGAGTTCAACTCCCAGTACAAAAAAGAAAAGCCACACATCAAAACCTGCAACCTAATCAGGAAACGTAGAGCCCTGTCTCTAATATACATAGGTATATGTGTGTGTATATACACACACACATATATTAAAATATATATCATATATATTTTATATATACATATATAATTAATATATATTATAAAACATAATAAAATGTCTTTTTTAAACAAATCAATGAACAATTTTATTTTTTAAATATAAAGGCTGATGAAAACTATTACAGGTCCTATTAAAGAAAATCCAGCATTTCAATTGAGAAGAACAGTAACTACTATTTACTCATTAAATACTACTTAAGTTTTCCAAATACAACTTGAAAACTTCCATTGTGCTTCTTTAATTTCCGTACAATGGGTTTGAGAGCAAGTATGCAGGCCAGGTGTGGGAGTGCACACCTGTAATCCCAGTGGCTCGGGAGACTGAGGCAGGAGGATGGCAAGTTCAAAGCAGCCTCAACCACAGCGAGGTGCTAAGCAACTCATCGAGACCCTGTCTTTAAATAAAATGCAAAACAGGACTGGGGATGTGGCTCAGTGGTCRAGTGCCTCTGAGTTCAATCCCTGGTATCCACCCCCCGCAAAAAAAAGTATTACATGCATCAAAGCCAGATTACAAATTATCATAGTGTTTGTTGTCGTCATAGTGGTCATCCTCATCATCATCATTATCGTCATCTTCACGTTTTCTTTTTGATGCATTTGATGATTCATTGGCAGTATTTTGTGATGATACCATATTAGTGATAATAAGAATGTTTTGGGGGCTGGGCTGTGGCTCAGTGGTAGAGCGCTTGCCTAATAAGCGGGGAGGCACTGAGTTCAACTCTCAGCACCACATAAAAATAAGTCAATAAAATAAAGGTCCGTCAACAGCTAACAAAATTTTTTAAAAAGAAATTTTTTTTTTATCCAATTAACAATGAATCCCTCATTAATCACAACATTCTGAACTGCTGATGCTCCAGGAATTGAGGCTTCTGTTCGTAAACCTGTGCCCTGATGGAGACGTTGGAGTCCCTACTTAGCTGAAACAGACATGGTACAACATGGTTTGTAGGGTTGGTGTGCCCAGTGTGGGAGTCCTTGGTCTGCTAGTAACTGAACCAACACTTAACCACGGAACTGTTATTCTTCCCACAGAAGTACATGCTTTTTTTTTTTTTTTGTAAAAACTTGAGCCTATACTTTGTAGCTGTTAAGCAATATCTATCAGGAGGCAATCTAGGATCTGAATATGGCTTGATCAATGGCAAAGGAATTTGATTTCTTTGCCTTGCAATATCTAATAAAAAAAAATCTCTCGGGGGAGGAAAGGTGAAGACTGGTCAGCTCCACGCCAGATTGCCAATGGCTCACCATCTCATCCACAGTAGCTTCTTAGCTTGGCGGGGATAAATTTTAGCATCATCTAGAATTGGGGCCACATATCAGAAGGCAAATCCCAACATCTGATTTATAACTCTTGGCTTATGTTCTGCAATCCCCATATCCTTCACGATTTGTGCCATCATCTCTGTGTCTTTCTGTAATGTTCGTGGGAGAAGCCATCTTGCCAGACTCCATGATATCTGGTGATCAAACTTCTCGAGCCAAATCACCCACATTGATTTCATGTATTTCAGTCCTGATCTTGTTTTTTTTTTTTTTTTTTTGGGGTGTGTGTGTGGTACTGGGGATTGAACCCAGGGCCCTGTCTGTGCAAGGCAAGTACTCTACCAACTGGGCTATATCACCAGCCCTCAGTCCTGATCTTGATACAAGCTCTTTGCATAGTGTAGTTTTTTCAAAGCTTGGAGTACCGGTGAGCAGAATGTCCCTTAACAACATAATCCTCCACAGCAACTGTAAGAGAGCCGGGCACACTATGGGGAGGAGCCTAAAATATCTTTTTTTAATTGCAACCTCTACTGGTATTCCTGATTCCTCCTTACAACGCTCTACTGGATTTTCTAATGTCATAACTAACATACTATGATATTATGTAATTTACTTACTCAGGATGCTTATTGTCTGTCTTTGCCTACTCTGTAAGGACACAGATTTGTGTCTGATGTTTTGTTTTGTGATACTGGGGAATGAACCCAGAGTGTTCTATCACTGAGCTATATCTCAGCCCTTTTATTTTATTATTGTTGTTTTATGTGTGTTCTGCTGGGGATTGAACCCAGGGCCTTGTGCATGCAAAGCAAGCACTCTACCAACTGAGCTTTATCCTCAGCCCTTTTTTATTTTTATTTTGAGACAGGATTTCAGTAAGTTGCCCAGGCTGGCCTGGAACTTGTAATCCTCATGCCTCAGCTCCCACCAAACCATTGGGATTACAGGCGTGTGGCACCATGCCCAGCGCCTGCCTTTTTACCATCTTTTCCTAACTTTTCACCAGCACCCGGTCTCCTTGATTCTTTATATTTTTCCCTTTATTTTATTTATTTATATGCATTGCTGAGAATCAAACCCAATGCCTCACACATGCTAGGCAGGCGCTCTACCCCTGAGCCGCAGCCCCTCTTGGATTCTTTTCATCTTTCGCATCTCTAAGAAAAAAGAAGCCTGACAACAGGTGGTGCTGGGGATCCAACCCAGAGGCTCAAGCATGCTACACAAACACTTTACCACTGAGCTACTCTCCCAGCTGCACGAGTGATCTCAGGTCTCTTTCAGGGATAGTGTGTAGCTCAGTGGTTGAGTGCTTACCTGGCACGCACAAGACCCTGAGTTCAGTCCCAAGCACTAAAAAAAATAAAATAAAAAAGAAAGAAAGAAAAGAAAAAAGGAGTGATCTCTATACACTGTTTCACCCTCTAACTCGGCTTTCCCCACAAGTCAAGCAGCTCTCGCTAGCACCATCAAAGACCTCCCTGTGTCCCCTCGAAAACCGAAAGCACAGAAAGAGTAGGGACTGGATTGTCTTGTTCCCCTACTGGATTTCCAGAACAGAGTACTGGAGACCAGCAGAGCGCCAGGCGCACGGAACATCTGTAAAACCCTGAGTAAGTGACTGGACTGATAGGTCCTCCCTCCTTCGCCCCTGCTCTAGGAAGTGCCCCGAGCCCCTTACTCACAGGTGCCCAGGTACATGACCAGATGATTGTGCCCATCAAGGCCCGGGGCTGTCTCCACTGCGAGCTGTGTGTACTCCACGCCAGACTTCACCAGCAGGGGCGTGCCCACTACCTGCTTATCCATCAGGAAATGGTCCTTCATGAAGGTCAAGACTTTATCAGAGGAGGGACCCACGGAGCACTGATGGAGGAAGGAGGCAGGTCAGGTTGGCTGGCCCATCTCTTCAGCCCATCCATTGCCCCTTCCCTCCCCTCCCTCCCTCCCCTTGCCTTCTCTTATCTTAGGAGGGTGGTTAAAGCTCCGATTCTGGAGCTGCCTGGCTTTGAGTCTCGGCCTCAGCATGCCTGAGGTTCCTCAATGATGAACTGGGCATGTCGCCAATACCCACCTCACAGGCCCCCCGTGAAGATGAAATGCACTAATATAAATAATGAAAACACTGCTTGGCATGCGGTCAGTTCTCAAGAAAGGTTAACTGCTGCCGGCCGCAGTGGCACATGCCTGTAATCCCAGCAACTCAGCAAACGGAGGCAGGAGGATTGCAAGTTCAAGGCCAGCCTCCATAATTTAGCAAGGCCCTAAGCAACTTAGCGAGACCCTGTCTCAAAATAAAGAATAAGAAGGGCTGGGGATGTGGCTCAGTGGTTAAGTGGCCATAAGCTCAATTCCCAGTACCAAAACAATAAAAAATAAAAATAAAAAGGGCTGCCAGGGGCGGTGGTGCACACCTGTAATCCCAGCAACTCGGGAGGCTGAGACAGGAAGATCGAGAGTTCAAAGCCAGCCTCAGCAAAAGCCAGGCACTAAGCAACTCAATGAGACCCTGTCTCTAAATTAAAAAATACAAAATAGGGCTGGGGATGTGGCTCAGTGGTTGAGTGCCCCTGAGTTCAATCCCCAGTACCCTGCCAAAAATAAAATAAATTAAAAGGGCTGAGGATGTGGCTCAGTGATTAAGCCCCTTTGGGTTCAATGCCCAGTACCTAGGAAAGGTTAGCAGTTACTGCTGTCCTCCTCGCACCTGCATCAGAGATGCCTGGCAGTCAGCAGGAAGCAGGAGAGACTTCTTGCAGGCAATGACCATGTTTTGCCCCTGTCTCTAGCCCCAGGTACAGTACAGGACCTGGCATGAGGTGCTCAGGAAGTGTTTGCTGAGTCGGTGACTGCATGGGGGACATCACAGGAAGAGGTGGTGTGGCACGCAGTGTTTCTCATCACAGTTTTGCATGAACTTGATGCATGACTCTGGGAGAGTCCCTTCTCCATCTGAGCCTCCTTTTTCTCACCCATAAATGAGGGGGTAGGACCAGCTGTTCTGTAAAGGCCCCGCCAACACAGGCACGCTGGGGCTCTGGGACACCTTTATCCTGATCATCAGTCAGGATCCTTGTTTTCCACAACCAAGAGCATCTCTCGATGGCAGCCCAAACTCTGTCACCTACCACTGGAGACTCAGGTGAGTTATTTCACCTCTATGAACTTCAACTTCCTCATCTGTAAAGTGAGGTATTGGCATCTACATCCCATTTTGATGCCGGTTAGAACACACACGCCTACTTTCACCCCCTCCCAAAGGGATTTTTTTTTTTTTCAGAATTGGGGATTGAATCCAGGGGCACCGTACCATAGTCCTTTTTATTTTGAGACAAGATCTTGCTAAATTGCCAAGGCTGGCCTCAAACTTGCATGCAATCCTCCTGCCTCTGCCTCTCAAATTGCTGGAATTACAGGTATGCACCATCAAACCCAGCCCAAAGGGATTTCTTTTTTGTTTATTTGTTTGTTTGGTTTTTGTACCAGGGATGGAACTCAGGGATGCTTAACCACTGAGCCACATCTCTAGCCTTTTTTAATATTTTATTTAGAGACAGGGTCTCTCTTAGTTGGTTAGGGCCTCACTAAATTGCCGAGGCTGGTCTGGAACTCACAATCCTCCTGCCTCAGCCTCCCCAGCCTCTGGGATTACAGGCATGTGCTATTGTACCTGGAGGGATTTCTTTTTAAAGTCATAAACCTACAGCAGAGTGGTGTGGAGAAAAGGAATGAAAGCAAACAACATTCACATTTTAGACGCTGTTAAGCAAATGAACAAACGACTTAACGACTTACGGGAGAGAGAAGAACCTTCTTCAGGTACCCCTAGGGGAACCCCCTAAACCATCTGATTTAAAAGATAGAATTCCTAAAGTGTGTAAATTATGGACCCGAGCTACCTCTGGAAGTGAAGTTAAAGGGAGAATAAATAAAAAAGATTATTTGAAAGTCAGTTTAAGAAGCAGACAGAACAGCCAGGCATGGTGGTATATTCCTGTAACACCAGCAATTAGGGAGGCCAAAGCAGGAGGATGACAAGTTTAAGGCCAGCCTCAGCAATCTCAAAATAAAATATAAAATAAAATAAAAAACATAAAATTAAAAAAAAATAAATAAAAAGAACTGAGGATGTGACTCAGTGGCAAAGTGCCTCCTGTTTCAACCCTCCAGTACCAAAACACATATGCAGAGTAGATCTCAAGGACGACCAGACTTCTAAGTAAAGCTACAAACATGAAAGAAAGAAACCAAACAAAGGGGTGGAGGAAAGAACAAAGAAATACCTAAGAGGAAACAGAAATGATTCAGGGAGAAGAAAATATCACAGAAAACTATCATTACTATCCTAAGAAAAGTGAGTAGAGATAGAATAGTTAGAAGGGCTGGGGCTGGGGCTCAGTGGCAGAGCGCTTGCCTAGCATGTGTGAGGCACTGGGTTTGATTCTTAGCACCACATTAAAAATATATAAAATAAAGGTCCATTGACAACTCAAAAATATTTTTTAAAAAATGCAAAAAGTTTAGAAAAGAACATTTAGAAGGCAAGAATAGAATTCTGCAAAAGAGGAATCTTTACTTCACTGGGCAGCTAGACTTTGCATGTAGCCAGAAGGAAGTACAAACAACCACAATGTAGCAATCTTGCCCACAAAAATCAAAGCTGGGGATATGGGTCAGTTGGTATAGTGCTTGCCTTGCATGTAAAGGCCCTGAGTTCAATCCCCAGGACCACAAAAAAACGCATAAAAAAATAAAATAGCTGTGGTTATGATTTTTTAAAAATCAAACCTGAATCTGATTAAATCTCTAGATTCAACCAATGAACAATTTACAAGAAATACTTAAACTACACCAGATGCAATCAAGATCCAGACTGTGGAAAACTCTAAGACAAACAAATAAATTCAAGAGAAAATGGAAAGGAAATATCCATATCTACACTGTGGATGTGGTGGTGTGCACCTGTAGTCCTAGCCACTGGGAGGCTTGAGGCTGGAGGATCATTGGAGTCTAGAATTCTGAGGCCAGCCTCTGAGCATCAGAACAAACCCCATCTCAAAAAAAAAAAAAAAAAAAAAAAAAAAAGAAAGAAAGAAAGA